AGATAATTCCAGAAGTGGGCTTATGTAATCCCTAAGCAATAAAAATTAAATAGCTGCACTCATTATGAGAGTGATTAACTTCCTTTTACAATAAGAAGTTCAAAACCACAGAAAAGTTCTACTGACCTCAAATCTTTCTTTGTAAATGAAGTATCAAAAGCAAATCATACCTAGGGTACTCATCATACAGGAGAAATACCATGGTTAATTCATAAAACATTCTACGTGCTTTCAGCATGGAAGGGGCATAATTGCATTTTTTAAGCATATTGGTCTTAATTCATTTGTATTTACAGAGGGCTTGTGCCTCATTTAGGGCCCTAAATGGAAAAGGAAAAACAGTAGTCAGGTTTCTTAGCTATCACCTCTTCTTCTGCAAACAAAGTACAGTAAAATTGCCAAGTACATAAAAGAAAAATAACAACATGACAAAACGTTGGATGTGATGATTCTAATACCAGCTGTTCAAAATTAGTCTTTTCACGCAATAGCTAATTCAAATCTCTTTACTTTGCTCAGCGTTTCTGGTGGTGTCATTCCAGTTCTGCTCAATCTAAATTAATCCTTAAATTTCCTCGGTGAATTTTTAATCTTTTAGAAATTTGATTATCCATTGATCCTCAATCTCAACAATACAGGAAAATGAAAAAAATATGGTGGTCACATAAATTCATGTATAAACCTTTTGCTATTTTAAATTGTTACAATGCCTGCATGGATCTGCCTTTTCTCACCCTAGCTTATACCAAGTGATATATCATATATATGAGACATAGTCATACCTTTCTATAGTATTTTCTTTCCATTGGAAAAACAACGAAATAATTCTAGCCAAAAAATACTTGTGTCTGCAAAGATGACTAAAGCCTAACATACACATTTTCAATCCTAAAAAGAAAAACAAATAACAAAAAGTCACTAACCTCGATAGGAAAATTTCTGATTGCTCAACCATGCCTTAAATACAAATGTTAGAACAAATCCCCATATTTCCAGGGTCCTTTGTATTGTTGAGTAGGTTTTAAATCTACTCCAGCGGCCCCCAGGAGAAACAGAAACCTGTAAGATATGATGGCATAAGATGATGATGATGGTGTTTTGGTCTCAGTATATCAAATAACTAACTGTAGCAAGTTAAGACAGGACCTCATTCTCTATTTACACATAAACACACAAAGAAATAGATAACTATGGCACTTTGAAAGAATTTATCAATCAACTAAGAGGAAATTCTTCATGGCAAGTACACATGACACACCATGCAGGTGCACAGACACGAGAAAACTAAAAATCATCAGTTTCAGTGAATTAAAAAATGAAAAGCTAACAATGAAGATAATTAGATCATTAATTCATATTTCATACTATACCTCAACCTGCTCTTGAGTGCTTCGCTTAAACCAGGCCTCTTCTTTCCCAATATCCTCTATTCTCTTCTTCCTCACTTCCTCCGAATCCACTTCTTCCATCACTTCCGCCACCGCCCCATTCCCATCCACATACTTAACCAAGCTCCCATTGCTCTCCTTCTCCACCACACCAACACTGCCGTTCTCGTAGCACTCCAGTGATCCATTATAGTCAAATTTACCATCCAAAGCAGTAGCACTACTAACAGAAGCACCATTTCCATTCAAGTTAAGACTGTCATTAACTTCCTCCATCACTGCTTCTCTCTCGTCAACTACGACTCCTCTCCCTTTACCGGCTCGAATCCGAGTAGCGAAACTGTACCGCCGTACATGATTTCTAGAGAGAGAAATTCTGGAAAGGGGAAATTTATTGAGACAAAAACGGTCCTTCTTCAGAGATGGTTCCGGAAATAGAAAGGCAAGTTCCGGTAACTGTAGCGACGACGCCATCACCGGAAAAAAATTGCTTCCGCTGACCAGAATCAAACCCTAGACCCCAATTTTCATGATGTTTTTTTTTTCCTAGAAAGAGTATGAAGAATGTTTGTGGTCAGTGGTGACTGGTGAAGAGAAGAAGAGGACAGAAGAAATGAGAAAAATAATAATAATAATGGAAACTAAGAGAGGGAGGGAAAGTGGTACAGATTAGGAACACGTGGCAAAAGTTTATTGGCGAAGAAACTCGCTAGGGGGGTGCCCTAGTCTCTCAGCCACAAAGTCGCTTTGCCTTGACTGGGGAATATCCTTTGAACGCTTTTTGGCTTACGTGTCAACCGGAATTTAATTTTTTTAATTAAAAAAATATATTTAAAAATAATTTTTTTATAACAGTACTTATCCATCGTAATTTTTAAATGAAAATATTATTTTAAAATAATATTATTTTAATAATAATTATTAAAAAAAATTAAAATATTTTATTTTTAAAA